CTGCTACCACTGCCTCAGGCAGGGGGAAGCCTCGCTGCTCCACAGGAGGAGGCAAAGGTGGGTGGGGGGGAGGGAGCCACCGCACTGGAGGAGGTGGCAGTGGTGGCAAAGGAACTGTTTACATGGGCGGCCCCAAAGGGCAAGTGGGGGCAGGTGGGGAGGGCATGTAAATACCCCCTTAAACACTCTGTCATTCAGGATGGCCAATTTGCTAGTGTATAATATGGATGTGGAACTCATTGCCAGAAGATGCTGGAAGCCAAAAATGTTAACTAGGTTCAATACTTTCTCTGACAGAGGCTATTAAACACAAGTTAGGGATGTAAACTTCTCATAATGTTTGGGAGGGTACAGATCATTCTATGCTGTTTCCCTACTGCCCAAGGTCACAAAACCCTTTCGTATCACTTCTGCTGCTGCTGAACCCCTGGCTCTGTGGAACACGTGAGCTGATGTGGAGCCAGGCAACACAGCCCAGAAATGGCAGCCCACCGCCTCTAGGCCCACTCTGCCATTATCTCTAATCTCTATGCAGATGACCTATTGCAGAATCCCAGGACTCCAAGTGACACAGGTTGACAAATCACTGCTCTGAAGAACTACTTGCCACTGTTGGAGATAGGATAGTGGGCTAGGGATGGGATACTTTGGTTTCACTCAGTATGGAAATTCTTACATTCCTAAGGTCTTAAAAGTATACTAGCTACTTACTTCCCAGTAGACTTACTCTAATAGTTAATCAGTTATCATACGTCCGGGTTTTCCCACACGTCCTCTTTTTTGGCCTTCTGTGCTGTGTCCGGGCTGGTTTTTCAAATAAGATCAAATGTCTGTGTTTTTTGCTGTTCCCTCTGTGCTCCTGGGCTGGCTGCTTGGGACTGGGAGCAATGGGCAACGTGACTGGGGTCACATGCTCCCCATGTGGGCCCCAGCAAGCCAGGTAAAGAGACTCTGTGTGTGTGTGTGTGTGTGCGCGCGCGCGTGCGTACATGCACACACTGCTTGGGCAACAGGGCTGGGGGGGGCAGGGGC